GGGGGGGGGAAACATATTCTGGCCATCCACGCCTCCCCGTGCTGGCGCTTTAATGGCCTCCTTCTCATCTTTTTCATACCGTCCTCCCCCCCGATGCTGCCTGTTTCTGTTTGGTGTGTGTGTGTGTGTGTCTCTGTGTGTGGCTGGAGGATGCCACGGCTCAATAATAAGGCGTGTGCAACGCCGAGTTTCTGCTGTGTGTGTGTGTGTGTTTCTTCCATTCATTCTGTTGCTTCATGTGTTGTGTTGACCCTTGTGCTGCAATTGTCTTTTTTTTGTTTTTGTCGTTCGTCTTGTTCAATGAAACACTCCATGTCGGACTGTGTAGGAAGATCGCGATGGGACAAAAGGAAAGCAAAGGTGAGAATCCGCTAAAGGGCATTGTAGGTCTCCAAGTGGCGCGGGTGCTGCCGCACAGCCCCGCCCACGCTGCGGGCTTACTTCCATTTTTTGATATTATCACTGAAGTTAACCAGACGGTTCTCATGGACGCTGAGAACGCAACTGAGCAGTTTAAATCGTACGTGATGGAGCGAGAGAGCCAGCAACTGTGCTTCAAGGTGTACAATCTGCGCATCCGCGCCTATCGAGATGTCTTCTGTGTGCCCAGCAGGTCGTGGGGCGGCGGCGGCATGCTTGGCTGCAGTATCGAGTGGTGCCGTGCGGATCAGTGTGTGGAGCGTAGTTGGCATATCGTCGACATCGTCCCCGGCGGCCCGGTTGGCCGCTGTCCGGAAATACAGGCGGAGCGTGACTACATCATCGGGATGCAGCGGGCAGAGGAGCCTGTTGTCACGCTCATCCGGGATGAGGACGACTTCTATGCCAGGGTGGACATGTGGCGCAGCCTCCAGCGTGTGGCGCTCCAGCGACTGCAGCGCAGATCAAGGGTGGTCCCCGCCAGCGCCAACGCTGGCACCACAGGGCTTGAGATGATCGGCAAGTTGATATTCCTTATCTACGACGCTGTCGCCAACGAGATCAAAGAAGTTGCGGTGGATTTGGGGCCCGACGTGGATGCCCCACTGGGGATGAATCTAGCAACCGGCCTTCTGCACTCACTGCTCGTCAGCCCTCCCTCTGCCGAGGGTGGGGCGGACGACGACGGTGGAGGCAGAAGCGAGGGCGGGAACAGTGGTCTGCCGGTCCTGACGGCCTTCGTAGCTGCTTCAGGGACGATAGAAAAGGCGGAGCAAGGCATGCCGATGCCG